GCTTTGAATTCCCAACTCTGACCCTCCCCCTCATGCTTTAGGCCCCATTCAGACCTTGCAGAGCTCAGTGAATGCAAGGGGTGTCTCCTCCAGGGTAGGTGGTTGCTACCAGTGCTTCCCTTTTGGGCTCAGTGAAGCAGTAAAGACCCTTAGATTTCACCAGACCCCCTCTCCCATTTTACAGATGAAGAAACCAATCCAGAGAAGCCTCTGAAAGGCCAAGGTCAGCAGCAGGGTGCCCTTTCTCTCCTGTAACAAGCTGCTATCACTAAAGGGGAGTGGCCGATGAAGACACACCCACCTCACACACCTTCTTGCAGGTTCCCCTTTAGAACCCCCCACTCTTCCCCTGACAGGTCCCAGAGGAAGCACAGGCAAAGCCTAGTGGCCCCCTCCAAAACCCTTCCCTTTTGATGAAGAAGGGCAGGCTGTGTTCCCAGGAACAGGTCTCAGAGGGGCCACATCACCCTCCCCACAGCCCAGGCCCATACCAACTACCAAGCTATTAATTAGCCATAAAGATTCCCCCTTGACCATCTCTTCACAGCAGCCTGAGGTTACTCCCTGGGGAGGGGTGGTCTGTCTCAAGCAGCAGACCAGGGCAAGCCCTCCTCTACAGGCCCTGACTGGCTCCAGATGCCTTTTACCTGGGAGGGAGGAAGGCCTCCCAGCTTCCCTCCCCACACCAAAATCTAAAGGGCAGTTCACATCTTCCCAGGGTACATCTGCAAAGACACAAATATGCATGCACAGGCACTCCTGCACACTCAAACATACAAACATGTTCTCTCATTCCCACTAATACTTTACCTACCCAAATCGACACCACCATACTTACATAAATATGCACACACAATCTACTCATACACACAAACACCCATTTGTACTCACTCATACATATTTAATTTGGAAATACAGACACAGACCTTACATACCTACAAAACTAGTCCCCCTCAAAGAGCAACCTCTCTTTTATCCCCCCTTTTATACACGTTCTCATACGTGCACACACACACACACACACACACACACACACTCCTTTCAGTTCTGACTCTCTAGGCGCCAGTTCTCGAATCCACCCCCGCCCCAGGGAGGCAGAGGATCTTCTGATGGATAGGTTGTCACTTACCCGCGCGTAGCGGGAGGAGTAGGGGTCCTCGAAGAGCGCCCAGATGCGCGGCTGCCAGCGGCGCCAGAAGCCGCCTGGCCGGCCGTCCGGGGAGTCGCTAAGCGCCAGGCGCTTGGTCATCTCCAGCTCGTCCTCACCGTCACCTGAGTCGCCGGGGCCGTCGGCGTCCGCGTCGTCGGCGCTGTTGTCAAGGGGTGCGCCGCCAAAGCTATCGAGCGCCTCCTCTGCGTCGCGATGCTGGCGGTAAGTCATCCAGCAGCAGGGCTCCACGTCGGTCTCGTCGATGCCCCAGAAGGCCAGCTCCTCTTCATAGAGTGGCCCGCACACGTCGGCGGGGCAGTGCAGCTTGCCAGTGCGATAGTAGTTCAGGATGTGCGCGAAGACGCCTGGGTGGCGGTCGAAAAAGAACTCGTCGGCGCGCGGGTCATAGTCGAAATGGCTGTGGGCGTCGGGCTCCGCCAGCCAGGCGAGCCGCGTGCCGGGCAGCGTGCGCAGCGTCGAGCGGTACGTCTGGTGGCGCGTGCCGCCCACGTTGATCACGATGCGCTCGCTCTCGTCCCCTTGGCCCATCGCGGCGCCCCCTTAGGCATGGCGCGGCCCAGCGACACCCATGGGAGCGGCCGCCAGGGGGAGTTGGCGCCGGGGAGGGGGGCGCGGGGCCTCCTCCCCCCTCCCCCCAGCCGTCGGGGGGTACAGAGGATGGTGGCTCTGGCCACCCCAAGAGCGACCCAAGCCCCTCGGGGCGCTTTCTGTCGCGTGCTGGTCCAGGGGAGTGTGCGCGGGATCCCAGGGGTCTCTAGGCGCCAGATGTGGGGAGGGAGCGGGTCCGGCTGCGGAGGAGGCAGAGGAGGAAAGAAGGAAGGAAGAAAGGGAGGGAGGAAGGGAGGGAGGAAGGGAGGGAGGAAGGGAGGGAGAGGGACGGCGCTCAGCGGCGAGCCCCGGGAGGAGGGAAAAGAGGGTTGGGGGGCCGGGCTCCCGTCCCCATCTCAGCGGGAAAATGAAGAAATTGACACAAAGCTTTTTTGGGGGAAGGTCAGCTGCTCCAAAGGCCGGACAGATAGATCAGCCCCCGGAAGGGGGAAGGGTGGAGAGGGGGCCGGGAAATTCGCGCTCTGCTGTGCGGTGGTCGCCGCAGCGCGCTCTCGGCGCTGGGGAGATGGATGGCCGTTGCCTTCCTCCCTGCGTGGCCGGGCTGCAGCTCGGGGCGCAGGGCGGGCTCCGGCCCCCTCCCTCTCTCCTTGCCTGGCTGCCTGCTCCCCCCGGTGGCGGGCGCGCCTGCCTGCCCGCCCGCCCTCCTCGATCCTTCTCCCCGCCTCTTGGAGGAGATGGCGGGCCCCCTGGGCAGGGGCACCCGGGGCGCTGCTCGGTGCGGCGGCCGCGGAGCGCTGCGCTCGGTGAGCGCTCCGCCTTGAGCTGGGCTTCCGCGGGGCTACGCTCTGGCTCCGGCGGCGGTGCTGAAGGGACAGCTCCCGGGCTGTGGCGGAGCTGCGCGGGGCCGGGCACGGGGTTTCTCCGGGCTGGCTTCGGTCTGCGAGGCCGGTGGGCACCGACTCCGGTGCCTCTGCGCCCCGCGCTTCGCGCCCCGCTTCGGGCAGGTGGTTGAAGGTGCGGGTCAAGGCGAGGGGGCTGCGGCGGTCGCGACCGGGAGGCGGGGGTGGCGGGTCCAGGCGCGGCGAGGCGAGGCCGGCCAAGCCGG